GGATGACATCGGAAGAAGCAAGAGCTGAGCGGAGACCATCAATTTCCATCGAAGGGGGAAGAGTCTGGATCTTCATGTTGTCACACTGTTGCTTTAGTCGCTGCAATAGTCGTCGTCAATCAGTCGGCACATTGCGCTACCTCGACGCGATATACCTTGTAGATGTCTTTCGAACCGGGCTTTAAATCATATGAGCGAAATGACGAACTACATCGGCTGGTCAATACCTTTGGCATATAGATCGTTGGTTTATAACCAAACATACCTACACATCTGTCGTTAACGCACTCGATCGCGCAAACGTTGCGCCACTTACTGAGATGACGAGCCGCGACTAAACCATCACCACCTCGAGAGAGGCGTTGAATTCCATACTGCCCAACGGAATTGGTATATCGACCTACCCTGATTGCCTGGACCACAGCAGACGAGAACGCGATTATACCCTTTATTGTCGTACACCTTCGCGAGCGTCTGAGCGCACGCCAAACCAGCGAGTTCCATAAGCTGAAATGCCAGTTGTTAACGACGAATTTGCTTGAAACAGCCGGCGCCGCGGCGGTCTACCTGGTCGAGGCTGAACGCCCCCGCGGTGCTCATGAGCTCCTCGTCAATCTGCCGGATCGTCAACACAGCCAAGTATCAGGTACACATCGGAGAAGTTCCCCTGACCTGCTGGGCAACCTTCGCAGTGAGATAGCGCACGGACATGGTCGCGGTGAGAGAATTTGACTGTGATGACATCACCAGTGAAATTGAACGCGTAGCAACCAAATGCAGATTCATTATAATGGATTTGACTTTGGACCTCCATCACAAGGCCGCCCGTCTCTTTCAAGGGTGCAAAACTCTGCGTTCCTATGGCACCCAATGCCGCTTGTATATTTCCCTGCTTTAGGCTCTCTCCGTATGCAATGCTATTTGTATCTCAGCTCTTGTCTTCGTCGCGACGTTTTTCCCTGATTCAAATTCCTCCCTTCTCCCACATAGCTATCGGGAGCAGGCTCCCAAATTGCTCCCTCTTCACTCTTTACCAACGACGACTGTCTAAACTATGATTTCTCTACTTGCACTGCGAGGTGAGTACTCAACTCAACTGGATTTCTGCGTTTTCGACTAAGGGATTCGTGAACAGTGATTGCGACCGTCGTGCACGGCATAGCGCAGATATGCACTATCCTCCGCCTGGTGTACCAGAAACGGAAACATCGCATGTGGCTCGATGATGGTTTTGTGGCTGCAGCGCTGCTCTGCTCTATTGCATGGCTTGTGTGCTTCTGGATCCGGTCGCAAGGTGCGTCTGTCTCGAGAGATGCTCGAGGAGTCCTCTGACTTGCATCGCAGGGGTGGATTCCCTTGCGCAGTCGCATCTATGGCGATTGCGTGCTTACTGGACAGATAGTCTGACATTTCTCACTGTTGTATGGTAAGCGCGCCTGCGGTTGCGATGCTCGTAATATTGAGGCGTGTTTTAGGTTTACTCGGACCGCCGTGTTGCTGTCGACTGTCCGACTCGCACCGCCAGGACTGTTTTCCCGTCAAATTCCCTTCTTCGCGTCCATACTCTTCCTCATGATGTGGGGCGCGCTGCTTATACAGCGAGTATACATGTGCCACCACAACTCCTCCTGGGAATCCGAGGATGACCCTCAATGTACTAGTATGTGCTGGACTCTTCCGTCCTAAAGTATCGTTCTCATTGTATGTTTGCAGATATCCCCATGAAAATCACTGGACTCGCCTGTAGGCCTACTCTTGCGTCTCCTATATCTGCTCTAATCGCGTTGTATAGGCGAACTTCTCTCAGACTTTATTCTCATCGTTTCACCCATCGTGGCGCTTGCATCTTCACCCGTTGCTCGGAAGCAACGCCGGCTTCTCCTCATCACCTTCATCTCTTCACTCGCCTTTACCATTGTCAGCGTGGCTCATGCCGTATACACCGTCCGCAACTTTGGGAGCCGTTCAGAAGACCTCACGGTCATCATTCAGGTTTGCACCCCCTTCTCCTCCAAAGTTTCTGCGCCGGATTCTGACATCCCCTATCTTCGCAGTCGGGCGCCTCGTTACTGTTTTCCAATCTCGTTGTCGGCATCATGTTCGCGCACCAGCGCATGAACCCCAATGTGGAGTACCCCGATGAGTTTAGCGAGGGCACCTACAGCACTCCTCGACGTAAACGCGGCTCCAACAGTCGCATGAAAGCGCGCATCGGGTCGCCCAGGGCGCTGAATTCCATCCACCTCAAACTCGACGGCCACGAGTCCTTCGGCACGTCCTCGCCTCACCGCTACGTCAACGAGCGCGAGAGCAGCGAGGAGTCTGCCCCAACAACCGAGGAAAAGCTTAGAGATTCCGCTATTGCGATGTCTCCCTACATACCCGACATGAAAGTGCCCTATGGCGTGATTCCCTCGAGCAGGCTGCTGGATCCGCGCTCAGCGCACGTCGACGACCAGTCCTCCATCTCGTTGTACTCGAAGGAGTCGCGGAACCGTGACAGCAGCCTCTCGACGTACCCGATGTTGCAGGATGACACCGAGGTGCTGACGTCGCCTCCTCCGGCGGCGACGAAGAACGTCCGCTTCCTCAGCCCGCTGCCAAAGATCGCAGACCGCTCGACGGGCTCGACGTTTTCCTCCATGCTAAACTCATACCTGGCGGATGACAGTCCCAAGTTTTCGGATTGGAATCGTTCTCATCGTCAAAACGTGGCTGTTCCACCCAAGACTGTACCACCCGTTCGTTTCTGAACATCCACTCTTTTTTTGTCCTTCTTGCCCCAGCGTATTTTATTTGATGTTTATTCTGAATCTTTTTCTCTTTACCTTCGTTCTTGTGCGTAGATATCAGCATGTAATTTGTGAGAATCGATGTAAGTGTACACATATGACAACAGCATCGTACTATACAACCGTAGAGAGAGAAAGAAATATACAATGTACACACATAAGAGAGAAATACACAACGTATACACTCATGGGCTAGGGGTGTGACATGGGAATCGTCCTTGCAGTAAGACATAACAGAAGTGTAGTTACTAGGTGGGCATTATGAGAGCCTTCTTTTCATCAGGAATGAACTTGGATGACCCGAAGACGGCTTTCCACTGAGGGAAAGGTCTGCAGTGGTGGGACCAGTTTACAATGAAGTGATTGTGCTGCAACTGAGCCAAAAAAAATTGCGTGCGCCACATTTCGTTTGTCTTATTATCCCGAGTACCTCGAGCCTCAAACCGCTGTTTGCAAGCCTCAACGAAAGGAGCATCGTGTAGTGATCAGCATGTAGTAATTTGTGAGAATCGATGTACAGAAATGTACAGATATAACAGCAACATCGTACTATATAACCCTCAAGAGAAAAAGAAATATACAATGTATACACATAAGGTAAAAAAAAAAAGTCGGGCATGGGTATCGTTAAGAACGTGAGTAAACTTGAAAAGTCCAATCCAGTCCAATAATTCACGTCGACCGCACGCATACTCGGCGGTGCTCCTCCCAGTCATTCCTCTGATGCTCGGTGGAGCAATACTTGACGAGCTTGCATTTACTGCACGTCTGTCCGACAACCTTGGTCGACTCCATGCTGTTCTCCGAACCTTCGCTGCTCGAACTACCAGACGCCTGGTCTTCGTCAAAGCAAACGGAACACTCGATCCAATTGCACATCTGGCGCTGGCGTATTCGGCGCCCAAACTTGCCACCGCGTTTGATATCAAGAACCGAGGCTGTCTCGAGTCCGCGTCGAGGGAAGCGAATCATTTCGCAATCCTCGGTGCAGCAGGGATTAGGACAGCCGGTGGGATAGTCGTAAAAGACGTCCTCATCTGGCACAAAGGAGGGATGAGTGAATAGGATCTGTGAATAGGAGGTGGTTTGATGGGAGAACAGGACGATGAAGCGCGGGCGCTTTTCGTAAAGGATAGCACGGAGAGTGAGGTCGATCTGGGGAAAGCAGGGATTTCGCCGCTGCCTGACGAGCATGTGAGAGATACGCATATCTGCCACTGAAATTAGAAAGGTAAGATGGAAAGTGTAGACGCCTTACGCTCGTATTGTATCTTGCGCTCCATGGATGGTTTGCATGTCCTGCCAAAGGCCTGTCGACAGACTAGCTTAAAGTACGCGGTAACATCGTCCATCTCCTGGCGCTTGAGATCGGTGACGATGATGTATATCTCGTCGCAGCCAACGTCGTGCATGCCGCGCAGGATCATGAGTTCTGGGAGCTGTAGACACTGAGAATACGCGTCCGATACGGAAACAAGACGCACCATGGTAAAGACAACGGGCATCATGGACAGCTTGCGCTCCTGCATGGACTGGTGGTGATAGACATGTGTGGTCCATGTCCTGTCGAGGGGTATCAGCCGCCCTGTATCGACTGTGCGGCAGAAAATGTTCTCTGGGACAAATTCTCCTTTATTCCAGACGATGATCTGCTTGCTGTGGTTGTGTGCGTGCTTTCTTTCACGGACGTCGCGAAACCACTCGTGATATGCATCGTGTGTCAACCCGCGATGCTCCAGCCATTTATCGATGAGCATATCCGTCGAGTCGTGATCCAGCGTCGTCTTGACCAGCTCGGTCATCGTCAACGACGGCGGAGAGAATAGTGAATAGTACTGGTTTCGCGGCATGCTCGTGGTGGTGGTCAGAGGGATGAAAGCAATAAGCAGCCAAACAAAGCCAATGATCCTTCCTCATCGCCACTTTATACCGCCCTTGTATTTTCTGTGGCCGTGCATCGTTCTTGAACAGCAATCAAACCCAATAAAAGAACAATAGACCATCATCAACCGTTCTAGTACGCGAATCATGACCACTGATGGTTCTAGCCGCACACAATTCACCAGGGAAATTGACCCACACTCTCAAACAAACTCTGCATTGCATCTTCAGAAAGCCTGAAGGTGGGCAGAAGGGAGCTGGCTGAATTGCTGTATGTCCAAGGGATATCTCAGCGCCTCAGAAACACCTCCCAGCTGAAACAAGCACGGTGAGATGGCCGAGCGGTCTAAGGCGCCAGACTAAGGAACCACGTGGCCTTGCCACGAAGTAATCTGGTCCGAAAGGGCGTGGGTTCGAATCCCACTCTCATCACTCTTTTGGATTTAAGAGCAACGAAATGTCGCGCACACTTTCTTTTTTGGCTCACTTGCAGCGCACTCACTTCATTGTAAACTGGTCCCACCACTGCAGACCTTGCCCTCACTGGAACTTCATTGCCGGGTCACCCGACTTCATTCCAATCTGGACTGTAGAGCGCACACACACATGTACACCTAACTACGCCTCTGTTATGTCTTACCAGGCAAATCATCATCTGAAACGCTAGTGCTGTTGTTGTTGGGCAAGAAGACTTCATAGACCACCACGGACCACAGGCTTTCACGCTGATACCTGTTGTACGCAATGGTCTATTTGTAGGCACGCTGATACCATGAACACCAAATGGCAGAACTGTAATCAACGACGTTCGGTTCAAGGATAAAGAGAATGTGTGTGTATGACCTTATTCATCGGCAAAAAATAATGCTGTGTAGTTTGTGTATTGTTGTAAGAGTTTTGTACATAATTATAGTTTATGGGTCGTTGTAGGATACACATATTTTCTATGGGTAGTCTGTGTTGTCGATCGTGACTTCTCATATGTAATGTAGTTAGCCTCATGCTCCGGGTCGTCTACCATGTAGTTCGTCGCTCAGATAGTAATTGGTATTTTCATGCACTACATATGGAGGCAACCCGTCATAACCACATTTACGTAAGCGTTTCGACCGTAACTTCAACAGCCTGTGAGGACATTATGGTCTGAATTACAGCGAACAGCTTTCACGACCCTTAAATTGCCTTTTTTGGACAGTTCCCTCTATAGCGGGACCTGAAAATTTCCTTATTTGGAGGCTCGTGCCTGACCAAAGTGGTCCGTGACCCGTTATGATGTATATATAGCTTCACTTCAAAGACCCCTGTGACCCTTTATGTGAATTTGCAGTCAAAACACTACAGTATCGCTGATTTAATTCCACAACCGAAATCTCTGAAATTTGCTCCTGCGCTCGTGCAATCTCCTCTAATAATCGGCTTGTGTAATCAATCTGAGTAAGTTTTCCCTTTTATCGAGTCTTTGCTATTCCTCGAATCTGTTATACAGCTGTTTCACGATTCCCCCCTGAGCTACATCTCTGATGGCGTCGTCATACCTGCCTTTGCCCCAAGCTGCAGTATCTCTTCCAGCTGAGGATCAGTATGCGATCCCGATGTGGCTACCAGTACTGATGCGAATCTGATGGCGAGTCTCTATCAGGTGAAGATGAGGCATCTATCGCCTCACAGCTTCTATCAACAGCGAAAACACCCCAGCCATTGACTCTGTATTGACTTTTACTTCGCATAGTGAGGCTGGTCCTGTATCTTTCACATCAGTTTCTACAGATCTTTCTATGGCCGAGCCTGTAGCCTTACAACCTCCCTTCCCTATTCGACGATTACTGCCAGCTTCCCTTTGGGATAGCACTGCCACCCCGAGCACCCTTCCTGATGACCAGCTGATCTTATACCATGGACAACTTCACCTCCGAAATCAGGCTGCTCATTACCTCCAGGACAGTTATATAAGAATC